CACCCTCCCTCTCTCTCCCTCTACATGAAATTTGCAGATGTGTCATTGAGTGAAGAAGGTTAGGAAACAGTGCTCTGGGCAGAGTCTCCAGGGGCCCGGCATAGTTAGCTCCCTCCTCTCTGGCTCCTATTATAGTACAAGGAGCTGCACGCCCCCTCCCCTACACACATACACCCTCAGGCCTCTGTCATTTGTCCCGTGGCCCATTCCTTCCATTCTCTACTCCATCCCAATAGCACCCCAGGACCTCAGCTTCCTAAACCTCAGCCAGAACGTTATTTCACAAGGACACTTGCCAACCTTGAAAGACAAGGGACCCGGAGGCAAGGAAAGAAACCGATCTTTCTAGTTGAACAGCACGAGAGCGCAGCGCCACCTCGTGGTGCCGCAGCCGACTGCTCCCGGGCGGTGACATTTTCAGACAATCAATACCTCATTATTAACCATAATCACAACCTGATGTTTACTTTTGGAGAAGTGTTCTGACAAGGGACGCACATGGACTTTTCTGCATGATTCTGAGGCTTGCAATCCTAAATGCCACAATGACTATTAAACAGTGTCCTGCCAGTGAGCAAACAGGAGGGAGCCAAGATTGACGGTCTATCTTTCTTCATCTAAGCTGCTCACCAAAAACAAAGCATCCGCTGAAGCCAGTGACCTTTCACTAACTGCTGGAAGGCAAATGCTTGATAAATAATAAATGGACCCCTACTCGTTGTTGCTTGGAACCATCTTTTAATTAAAAGAACTGAGCAGTGAGAAGGTCAGGTGACTGGTGTTTAAGCTAGAGCCCAGGAAAACCGTCAATCAAGGGTAAAATTAAGCTTGAAATGCAACGTGACTGTCAGCATAGCAAGTCAACAACAACAACAAAAACTCCCTCTGCAATCTCTCGGAGGAAGGAAGCAATGGTAGTTGATGGTGACATGTTTAGGGGACATGACACTCCACTCTCTGCCTCCTTTACCCTCCCCCTAGCAACCTGTGTCTGAGCAATAGCCACTTGTCTGGTGCGGCATCTCCACAGAAACTGCTCTGGAGCTAGGCGCATCCAATCAGAGGCCAGCGTGCCACACCCAGCACTACCCTAGGAGCGACATGGAAACCATTTCCTGTCCTTCCCACGGGAGGGCAACTGCCCTTCCTCCACCAGCCAAGGTTACCTCCAAGTGGCTCACTGAAACAGCCTGGCAGCCCACAGCTCACCCGGCAGTGAGCCTGGGACCTGACTCATCTCTGAGCCGAACTTCCAGAGCACAGAGCGGAAGAGAGAGAGCTCTCGTTTCCCTGCCCCACTCCCACGCTCTGCTTTGGCAGTGGCCTGTGCAGCAGGCCTTCACTCTCGAGGCCACATTGTGTCAGGTGCCCTCTCTCCTAGACGGACTCAGGAAACCTGCCAACGCTCAGCTTCCTGTCAGGCTTGGTCACACAGCCAGATCTGAAGAGAATGGACCAGGCCCAGTGACCCCACATGGGCCACATCTGGATCCTCTGGAGCTTTAGCATCCTGCTTTAATGACTGTGTTTTTAAAAAGACCAGTCTGGCTCAAACTTGCAGCAATCCTCCTGCTTCAGCCTCCTAAGTGATATGTTTACAGATAAGCACTAGGTGCAGGCATGTGTGTGCAATGTGGGGTGAGAACAGCTTCAGGGGGTCTTTCTCAGGCATGTGTCACTTTTCTTTTGAGACAAGCTCTCTCACTGGCCTGGAACTCGCCGAGTAAGCTAGGTTGATTGGCCAGCAAGCTCCAGGGATCTGCCCACTTCTGCCTCCCCAGCACTGAGGTTACCAGTGTGTACTACCATGCCCGCTTTTTTCTTTTAAACCACGGACATGGAACTTGAACTCGGGACTTTATTTATGCTTGCAAGGCAAGCCATTTACTGACTTAGCAATCTCCTCAACCCCTGGCTTAGATTTCTTTTGCTGCCTCAGGGTTAGGATTAGGGCCAGGGTCAGGGCCAGGGCCAAGGCCAGGATTAGGGTCAGGGTCAGGGTCAGAGCCAGGATTAGGGTCAGGTTCAGGGCTAGGGCCAGGATTAGGGTCAGGGCCAGGGCTAGGGCCAGGGCCAGGGCCAGGGCCAGGGCCAGGGCCAGGGCCAGGGC